ATTAGAATGAAGAATTGAAAGCAGAGACTCAAAGAGCTATCTGCACATGTTCATAGCAGTGGTGTTCGCAGTAGCCAAAAGGAGGAAGCAATCCAGTTATCCATTGACGGATAATTAGATTAACAAAATGTGGTCTACACACACACACACACACACACACACACACACACACACACACAGGAGTATTATTTGGCCTTAAAAAAGAAAGGAACTTTTGAAACTTGTTACAACATGAACAAACCTTGAGGACATTATGCTAAGTGAAATAAGCCAATCACAAAATGACAAATACTATGTAATTCCACTTCTACGGGGTCCTTAGAGTAATGAAATTCATAGCAACAGAAAGTAGAACGGTAGTTGCCAGCGGCTGGGGAAGGTAAGGGGGCTGTTGCTTAATGGGTACAGAGTTTCATACAAAAAAAGAGAGTTCTACAGATGGATGGATGGTGATGGTTGGTGGTGGATAGTGATAGTTGTCCAATACAGTGAATGTACAGTTGACCCTTAAACCATGTGGAGGCTGAGGTGCCAAGCTCTGGAGCAGTCAGAAATCTGTGTGTAGGGTGCCTGGGTGGCTCAGTGGGTTAAGCCTCTGCCTTCAGCTCAGGTCGTGATCTCGGGGTCCTGGGATCAAGTCCCACATCGGGCTCTCTGCTCCGCGGGGAGCCTGCCTCCTCTCTCTCTCTCTCTCTGCCTGCCTCTCTGCCAACTTGTGATCTCTCTCTGTCAAATAAATAAATAAAATCTTTAAAAAAAAAAAAAAAGAAGAAAGTGTTGTTTAAAAAAAAAAATCGGTGTGTAACTCTTGACTCCCCTAAAACTTAACTACTAATAGCCTTATCAATAACTTAAATAGTCAAGTAACCCATATTTTGCATGTTACATGTATTCTATACTATATAAATAAAGTTTGCTAGAGAAAGGAGAATGCTATTAAGAAAATCATGAAGAAGAGAAAATAGTTATTGTACTGTATTGTATTCACTGAAAAAAAAAATCCATGTATACATTCAAACCGATGTGGTTCAAGGGTCAACTGTTCTTAATACCACTAAATTATACATGAAAGAATAATTAAGATGGTAAATTTTATGTTCCATATATTTTACCATAATTTTTTAAAAGATTCGAGTGGAAATTAATGTAACAGAGAACAGAAAAATAGTACAGGAAGTCAACTAAACCAAAAGTTGTTCCTTTGAAAAGTTCAACAAAATGGACAAACCTTTAGCTAGATTGACCAAGGAAAAAAAGAGAGAAGACTCAAGTTATAAGAATCAGAAAGAAAAGAGGGGGACATTATAACTGACCTTGCAGAAACGAAAGTGATCGTAAGAGAACATTACAAACAACTCTATGCCACTACATTTGATAACTTAGATGAAACAGACAAATTCTACAAACACACAAACTACAGAAACTAACTCTAGAAGAAATAGAAAATCTGAATCTACCCACAAAAGAAAGCCCAAGTTCATATGGCTTCATGGGTGAATTCTACTAAACATTTAAAGAAGAAATTTTGTAAAGGTTTTATTTATTTATTTAAGAGAGAGAGAGAGAGAGAGAGAGAGCATGAGGGAGGCAGAGGGAGAAGCAAGCAGACTCCCCACTGAGCAGGAAGCCCTATGTGGGACTTGATCCCAGGACCCTGGGATCATGACCTGAGCCAAAGGCAGACTCTCAAGAGACTGAGCCACCCAGGTGCCCCTAAAGAAGAATTAATATTAATTCTTCACAAACTCTTATAGAAAATAGAACAGGATAGAACACTTCCCAAATCATGGAACTGATAAATGCTACTATGTGCATGAACCTTGAGAGCAATATAATAAGTGAAAAAAACCAGTGACAAAAGACCACATATTAGATGATTCTATCTATCTGAGATGTCCAGAACAGGCAAATGTATAGAGATAGAAAGTAGATTACGGGTTACTAGGAGTTGGGGAGCCAGCGGGTAGGGACAGCTAAAGCTTATGAGGTTTCTCTTTGAGGTGATAAAAGTGTTCTACAATTGGGGCACTTGGCTGGCTCAGTCAGTAGAGCATGCAACTCTTGATCTCAGGGTCATGAGTTCTAGCCCCACACGGGGTGTAGAGACTACTTCAATAAATAAAATCTTTTTAAAAAAATGTTCTATAATAGGTCATGGTAATGGTTGAGCAGCTCTGCATATACTAAAAGTCACTGACTTCTACACTTTAAATGGGTCAATTATATGGTATGTGGATTCTGTCTCACTAAAGGTGTTACCAAAACAAGCACTCCCACTCTACTTCTAAATATTCTATACACTGAGCTCATAATATTTCATTTGAAACAGAGGTTTCCAGGCTTATAAAGGCCTGTCTGCCCATTCCTTCATTCCAGAAGGCTTACACTGAGCGTCTGCTGTGTGTGGTATCTTGGTCCAGCAGGGGGATACAGAGATGAATCCAGCCCAGCACCTGCCCCTGGAGTTTGTGGTCAGGTGAGGGTGGAGAGCATCTAATTATATTCCAGCCTGCCAAAATCTCTAGTACCTTGCCAAATAGGCACACTCCCCATTGTTACCCAAAGGAGGAAAAAATATAATGCTAGCCAACATTTATTAAGTGCTTACTGTATGCCAGACACTGTGTTAAGTACTTTCCATGCATTACTTCCTTGGATCTTCACGTTACTCTGTTAGTACTCTCATTAGCTTTGTTTCACAGATGATGAACTGTGAACTCTACTCATGACTGGTAGAGGAGGTCCCTGGGCCTGCAGGAGTCTCTGATAGAATCAGGTATGAGGTAGAGCTCGAAGAGGGCCTCTACCAGCTCGAGAGGGAAACTGAGGCCCCAGAGGTCATGGGCATCTCAGCCTGGATTGGTATGGATGCTCAAGAAAGCAAAGAGCACTGAGGTCCCAAGCCTGGGGCTCTCATAGACACTCTGCCCTCTCTCCAGCACTTCAGCTCTCTGAGACTCTGTTTCTTCACCTGTAAAATGGGCCAGTATTCCTTCTGCAGAAGAGGTAAGAGCCCTGCACGAGTGCACTCGTTATGTAATCCATATAAAAGAATATAAAGGAAGAACCAGGGTTTGCACGGTGCTAGAAGTCGAGAGGCACTGAGGTCAGGGACCTTCTGTTCCCACATTTAGGAGAGCCCTGGCCCCTCTGGAAAGAGGGCTGGGCATGCACACACACACTTACCTGCACGCCTTCACCGTCCCTCCACTGCTGCCTCAACATCCCTTGCCTTTGGATACTGCTCACCCTTCTTCCAACAACCAGCCAAGCCCCCTCAATTTCTCCTTCTCCTTCTCCTGGAAGCTTTCCCAGACCTCCAGCTCAGCATGGCCCACCTCCTCGGAGCCCCAGGGGCCCCTGTTGGTGTCTGAATGTCACCTGCTGGCCGGGGTTGAAATTCCAGCACCTCCACAGACTGGCTCAATGATCCCGTGTGAGTGCTTAACTCACTCAAAGCATCACGTAACAAGAGGCTAATGAGAGACTTGACACGTCGGCTAATTGTGAGCCAGGGTTGCAGGCAGGAGACAATGAGGGAAGTTTCCAAGGTATGGTAAGTGACTGAAAGTCCCCTCGCAGAGGCTCAGCTGGGGAAGGTGCAAGGGGCTGCTGCCAGGGTGGGCCGGGGGCACATCCTTGAGGACCAACGGGATTCTGAGTCGCCTGCTTGCTCCTCATCCCGTCTGGAGAACCCCTGGGGAGGTACGGGTCTTACCCTGTGCTGGGACCTCCTCATCCCGAGGGCCCCCGGCTTCCTGCGTATACTGAGGGCGGACAGCGCCCACTGGAGTGGGGTCTGGAGAACAGCCATCAGTGGGCCAGCTCCCACACTCAGGGTCAGGGGTGGGCTTCTCTTGACCAAGGGTCGGAGGAGGCTGAGATCACCGGTATACACAGGTCCCGGGACTTCTACTAAAATGCAATTACAGGCTGGGCCTAAGACTGCATTTCTGACAAGCTCCCAGGCAGCTTTCCTGGCCATACTTCATGCAGCGAGGACCTAAAGCACGGCACAGCTATTCCTGAAAAGAGCCACAAGCAGCAAGCCCATCTCGGCCTCCATGCGTCCGGAGGCACCCAGCCCCACCCAGCCACACCCTGCGCTCCCACCATCTGGAGGGTAAGACTACATGGATTTTCTGAGTTTCCAGGATCCCATTTCCATTACATATGTAAAATAGAAGCAAAAAACACACATTACAAAAACATTAGAAATTTTGAAAAAATAATAGGGAAAAGAATCACGGATCCATCTCGTACTGTATTGTAAACGACCTTACCCTCTCTCCCCAGGCTGCCAGAGCCCAGTTGGCCAGAGTCAGGAGTCATTCTGCAAGTGGGATCTGCCCCCAGGAGCCCCAGCCCATCACAGCGAAGCACTGGGTGGGAGACGGGGCTGCTCCCCACACTCTCCATCGCCTGGCCCTCTTCCCACACTGAGAGAGAGGCCCAGCCTGCAGTGCCCAAGGCCTTCACCCAGACCTACCCTGTGGGGGGGGCACAAAGTCAGGGGCAAGGCCCTCTCCCCTCCCCCCTTACAGGCAGGAGACTGAGGAAACACTGCTGCGGAGGAGGGAGAGGTAGGGTCTGGGGGAGGGGGTGCACATCTGGATTCCTGGCCCAGAGCCCGCATTCTTTCCCTGTGAGTGTGAGGAGATGGGGTCTCTCTCGGGAGAGCTGCGAGGAGGCTGCTGGCCCCCGTCCTGCCCCACAGTAACAGGACCCACCCTGGCAGGAAGACTGGCAGAGATGTGAAGGCCCGGAACCTCATTTGGGGGCCCTCACCCGGATTGCTCACTAGCCAGGGCAGGCCCAGGCTGGGGCTCTGTCCCATCCATGCCAGCTGGTGCCTCAGAAATACCGGAGAGGAGGGGAAGGTGGAGACCAGAGGGCACAGGGCCACTTGTTGGTGGAAGGAGCCCTGGGGGCAGGGAGGTAGGGGAGGGGGGAGGTGGGGCCGCTCGGCCTGTTCTACCCAGAGAAGCGGGGCACCTTACCTGGGGGCAGTCCTTGATGTAGTGTCCTTTGTTGAAGCACAGGTGGCACAGGTAGTTGGGTGGGGGCCGCTTGCTGGGCTTGCGGGTCTCAGAGGTGAGGGTCAGGTCTGAGAAGTGCTCAGTGAGGGAGCTGAGGCCATCGGCGATGTTGTTGAGGGAGCCGTAGGGCGAGGCGCTCTTGTACACGCTGCTGCTCAGAGCCTGGGAGGAGGGACAGAGATGTGAGGGCTCCCCGGGCCTGGGCACGCTTGTTTGCAGCTATGGCCTCATGGGCACATGTCCACGGGCACATGCATGCACACTCGTGAATGCACACTCTCTAGCTGCCCGGGAGCTCTGGCCCCCTAGAGTCCCAGTTCATATCCTAACTCCTGCTGTGCATCCACAGGCAAGCCAGTGAACTGCTCTGGGCCCCTGGGGTCCTGTCTGGAAAACAGGAGTAATGAGAGCCACTTCCTATGGTTCCTAGGAGGCTCAAGTGAGGTCACTGTATCTCCCACCTGGCACTGAGGAACCACTCAGTAAGAAGTGAGGAGGAGGAGGACGGTTCTCATTAGTTCTTTACACATTCCCAGGAGGTAAGCAGGCATAGCAGAAAGCAACCTGTTGGATCTGGGGCTTTGCCATTTACTAGTGCTTTAAACAAGTCACTTATCGCTCAGCTGACTCAGTTTCCCCACCTTACAAGAAAGAGGGGCATCAGCGTACAGGATTGTTTCCATCGTACAGAAGAGAAGACTGAGGTTCAGCGCTCTGCCTGGTCTCCTGTGGCATGAGGGCTGTGCACACTGTGTCCGGGGAGCCCCGAGGCTGGCCCAGGCCTGCCCTCTGTGAGCCCAGGAGGAAGTGGCCCACCTCTCCCACCTCTCCCACCTCCAGCTGACAGGAACCAGATGTCTTGCCTGGCTTCAAAGCAGACGCGGCCCAGGCCCCCTCCTGGTGTATACAGCCTCTATTTATAGGAGTCACAGGCTCTGGGCAGCCAGGCACACTGGAATTTAGCAAAGGTGGGGCCTGTGGTGAGGTTGGCAGGGAACAGCCATGGTCCCCTTTTCCTGGGGCAAGGCCAAGGCTGTAAAGAGGCAGCTCCTCCAGGAGGGTCAACAACAAACCTGGGCACGGGCCTGGGCATCCTCTGGTCCCCGCTCAGGTGCTTAAGGATTCCAGGAGGGAACCACAGACCTTGGGGAGCCTTGGATCTAATGGGAAGACAGCCTTGTTCCTGGAAGTCCCCAGGCCTCTAGAGGAAGACAGCCCCTGAGAAGAGGTGGCCTCAGGCTCCCTTATGAAGACAGGGCAGATGGAGGCTCAGAGTGGGCACAGTCCCTCCTGTGGCCCTTCCGTATGGGCAGGGAGGGAAGGGAGCAGAGAGCAGGCCCCTGGAGATCAGGCACCCCTCCCCAAACCAGAACAGATGCCACCCCTCACACATGTATACCTCAGCCTCCCCACTTGTTCCGTTTCTGGGGGCCTGGCATTCCCTCCTAGAGGACACAGCCCACGCCATCTGGGGACCACCACTCTTCTTGGCTCCCTGGATACCCTGCTCTGTGGCCTGGGGCCAGTCCTTTCCCTCTCTGGGCTGTGGTTCCTGTTCCTGTAGGTTTAGACTGGAGCCTAGGAAAAAAGATGCAGGGACCACGTCCAAAAGGCATCCAGGCCAAACACCCAGTCAGTCAGCCTATGATGTCTGGGCATGGGACTCAAAGGCTCCTGAGGACCATCTCTGCTCTACCACTGTCCAGGGCTATCATGAAACCCAGGACCAGTGCAAAATACCACACCTTGCCTTCACTGTGAGGGTGATTATCCAGCTCTCAGATGAGCCGAGAGAGTGGTCCATCCTGAGAGGCAGAGGGTCTCCCATACCCGCAGGTGTGTGAGATGGTTCTGGACAACCAATGGTTCTGGACAAGGGGTGTGGAGAGGGGTCCAGTGTCCACAGGATTTGATCCCAGTCCCATCTACTAAGCAATTACAGTGTCCCAGGGGCTGGAAACTGTACACTTATTAAGACAGCCGACGCTCACCACAACCTGTGGTCCCATTTTACAGATGAGGCAAGTGTGTCCAACCTTGTACTGAGTGCCTTAAGAAACTTTGAACCAATACGGTTTTCTTGGCCCCACCTCAGACCTACCTACCAAAGTAGTCACCTGGCACCGAGAGCCTGGAGCCTATAGCTTTACTGTGGTAAGAAATTCATTACAGAGAATCGACCATTTTAGTTCTGTTTTTTAGCGTACGGTTCCGTGGCACTAAGTACATGCCCATGACTTTGCGACCACCAACCACTACCACCCACTTCCAGTACTTTTTCATCGTTCTAAACCGAAACTGTCTCCCCCTGACGCACTAACTCACTGCTCCCCCTTCCCCCAGCCCAGAACTCCCCAGGGCAGTCTGTCCAGAGGGCCCGGCTCTACCTGGCCTTTCCAAACACCCAGGTCTCTCCTTAGCTTGAGTGGAAGCTTCTCCTCACCCAAACAGGCCTGAGGGAGGGCAGCACCACCACAGCCTCCTGGAGAAAAGTTCATCCAGAAAAGAAACTCCCAACTCCAAATGGTGTGACTCACCCTCATGGCTGGGAAATGCAATTTCACAAATAACAGCCCTCTTCATTTTTTCCCCCCGTTCTCTCTTTTCTTTTTTCTTCTTCTTCTTCTTCTTTTTTTTTTTTTCTGTATAAGATTTAAGCAAGTTCACAGGAATTGGGACTGTTTTGGCAGCAAACTGTCAAGAGGAAGGGGAAGTCTGGTGGGTGCCAAAAAGTGCATTAATTACACCCTGAACAGCCTCTCCCCTGCCTTGTGGCCACACTGCCCTGCCCACGGGTGACCCCTCGGGCGTCCCTGGACAGCCAGAGGCCTCCGAACAGCCTGTCTTCTCCCCAGCAGCGGGACACCCGCACCCTCTACCTCACGAGGGTCACAGCTTCTGTCCTACGAGCAGCTTCGGGAAGAGAAGCGAGGTCAGAGCTTTCCTATTCACCGCCTCTGCCCGCCTCCCTCGGGTGCTCTGGCCTGTCCCTCCTGGTGGCTCCAGCTCCCTTCCCTCAGCCTCAATTTAAGACGACACCACCTTCAAGTGGAAAGGAAGGAGCAGAACAGCTGACCCAACTGCTCGCACATTCCAGATGGAGAAACTGAGGCCCAGAGAGGCCTGGGGCACAGACCAGGGCACACAGCCAGGCCTGAGGGCCATGAGTCCTGCTTGCCGGCTGGCTCAAAGGGCGGGTGGGGCAGCGAGCTGTTTCCTCTCCCAAGCCCCAAGGAACTCCGGCCACGGAGGTGAAAGGCAAGCTGCTCTCAGACCTTTCCCTGGCCGGCCCGCGGGGATGGGTCGGCACAGAGGCCAGGACACACCGTGTTCCCACCCCTCTGGCTGCGGAGGCAGGCCTGGCCTCGGGCTTCCCGTTTGTAAACTGAACCCGGAACAGGGAAGGAGGGCAACATGGATGACCTTCGCAGTCCCACTTTCTTAGGGTCCAGACACCAGCTACTGAAAGACCACCCCAGAGCCCAACATGCGGAGAGCCCTTGGTCACTCTGGGCACCTCCTTTCTGAGTCCTGCTGCCTATAGCTGGAGGGTGAGGCCCAGCAGGAGTGGCCCTTCATCAGGGAACCCCGAACTCCCTAACAGCCATGCTTCTCCTCCTGGTGTCCCATGGGGCACCTGCTCTTCCCCCCTCTAATTCTACACTGGCTGTCCCCCCAGGGTGCCCTGTGTCCATCCAACCTCCTCCAGGACCTGGCCTTCGATCTGGTCATACCTCTGGTGGTGTGGCCTTGAACCCATCCCTTCTTCTTACTCAGGCCTCAGATGCCCCTGCCTCCTCCAGGGGCCTCCTGGACCTCATGGCCATAGCCTTGTCTGTCAGGGCTAGGCTGGGTGGGGATCACCCCGTGACTCTGCTGCCCTTGACTGAAGGAGTTCTGAAGCCTCTTCATTTCCCCACAGGGCTGGACATATCAAAAGGCAAAAATTCTACAACATTCCGTCACCCCCAGAGCCCAGACCGTTTCTGCCATCCCTCATACCTACCACTGTCCTGGGTGCAAATCATCAAAGGCAGAGAAGGGTCTGGAAACCCTACTCAACAGATGAGGCGGTGAATGCCCTAACACCTTAAAGATTCAGGTTGGGGGGGTCTCTGAGTTGCCACAGACGAAGTGGAAGGCACTCTCACCCCAGATTAAGCCGCTATGGGCACTGGTTGAGGGCAGCCCCACTACTGTGGTGGATAGAAGCCACTGGGACCAAATCACCAGCCTGAAGGAAGAGACCACCTCTCTCTCCTCCCCACTCCCAGCAGCTGGCAGGAAGTGTGGGATCCTCATACCATATCTGGGGGACGGAGCATTGGACTCCTGCCCATTGCTGGAACTTCCCTGAGGCTCTGGCTTGGCTGTTGGGGAAAGTTAGAGGGGAAGATGCTGAAATCTATTCTCATCCTGCTTGTGTCTTAGACTTCACTGGATCCTTTCTCTTTCCTGATCTTTTTATACTTGCAAGAACACTATTTGGATGGGCATTATTGGGTCCATTTTACAGAGCTGGAAACTGGGGCTCAGAAAGGCTGAGTAACTTGCCCAAGATAAAACAGCCAGCATGTGGCTAAGGGAGACTCACACCCAGATCAGCCAGCCTGTTACAATTCATCTCCCACATGGCCTCCAGGTTTGGCTTCTCCTACAGTAAGGAGAGCCAAAGGAGAACACAGGGGTGGACCACTCTCCCTGGGCCTGTGACTTCATATCGCCAAGCCCCTCAGGCCTGGCAAGATGAGGCACCACCTTCTCTGTGCTGCATGAAGGGTCTGGGTTCTCGGGCTGGGGGTTCTGTAGAGGGACCTGGAGTGTGCAGGCCAAGACTTCCAGGGCTGACTCAAACTGCCATACGCTGTTGGCCCTCCCAGGATCAGAAGAGGGTCCAGAGGGAGGGGGGCAGACAGGGGTTAGGGCAAGTGCAGAGAAGCCTGCTCTAGGGAGAGGAAACCAGTGCAGAGAAGAGAGGAGAGGCAGCTGGCAGAGGTGGAAACATTCACAGAAAAGGACATAGCAGTGGGCAAGGCCATGACAAGGGGAGCATTTGAGGAAATGTGACCAGAGCAAAGGCTGAGTCTTGCCTGAAACCCGAGGCCAGAGATGGCTCTAAAGGGCGCATGGGGCGGGGGGTGACTCTCTGATCCTAGTTCCCA